TGAACTTAATACTAAATGCATAATCATAACCTAATGTATTATTTAAAATGATTGCAAGAAAATGAGATTTTGAACTTGGTTTTTCGGTCTTTATTCCTACCTGGTAATTATTACTTATCATAATGTGTAGATGTGCTCTCTCTTATTACACTGTAAGCTCCTCCAAAATAGACATGCATCTTACACTTTTTTTTTAAGAGAGAGAGAATGAGTGGGGTGGGGGGAGGGCAGAAGGAGAGGGAGAGAATCTTAAGCAGACTCCGTGCTGAGCACAGAACCTGATGTGACCTTCATCTCATTACCTGACATTATGACCTGAGCTGAGAGAAAGAGTTGGAGGCTTAACCAACTGAACCACCCAAATAACCTTACATCTTATATGATCTTTGTAAATAACATTGTATATTGTATTTTGCCATTTAAATGTTTTAAAATTTCCCCATATTTTGAGGCAAAAACTCTCTCCCATGAACACACATCCTCTTCCACACTTTTTTTCTTCCTTATTGCTAAATGCCTGGAGTTTCAAGGTATAGTTCAAAGGTCTCTGTTATCCTGTATATCATCATCCCTCAGACTATTGGCTTTAAATAATATCTACATATAATGTCTATATTCAGGTAAGTTCCAGTTCCAGCACTGACCTCTTCAGTCAAATTCAATCTTATGAAGCCAATTGTTTACTTGATACCTTTTATAAGTTATCCATTAGGGATTCCAACTAAAACCTATCCTCCTTATACAGAGTGAGAGCGAAAAATAGAATTTCTTAAATCTATACTATTCACTCACACATTTTAATGGCTTCACTTCTTTTCCAATTAAACTTTCACATGTAATTACATATTTGTTTCAATTAATATTAAGTACAAGTTGAGATTAAAAGGAATAATACTCTGTCTATAGCCAAATCTACAATTTATGTAAGCCAAATTTGAGTTATCTATGAATACACACCAAAATATATCAGCTGGAATAACATACTTACTCTTTGTGACATAGTCTCCACAGATTACAAATAGAAAAAGAATTTTGAACAGAATAATTCAAGTATAACTTTCTGGTATTTCACAAATATTTTATCCCAATTTCATTTTTAAATTCAATATCAAATTACAAAAATAAAATGTAATTTAATTATTTTAAAAACTTATAAAATAAAATAGGCATATGTTACATACCAGAGTATGGAAAATTTATATTAACTCTGCTGTTATATTAGTTAATTTTTTGTGGAAGCTAATTTTTTGTGGAAATATCTATATAATGATTATATATACAAATATGATATATGTTTTATCCATTCAACAACTGACCAAAATTAAACTTTTCTCTAACGGTATCCAACATCAAATCTCAGCTTGGCTATTTACTAGTCATAAGCTACTGGACAAGTAACTTAGTCTTCCATAATTTACTCTTCTTTAAAATGAGGATGATCATGGTATTAACTTAAGGAAGTTATATGAATAAAAATAGATAAAAATATAAAGCTCTCATAAGAGTGCTTGACCACAGAATGCAATGTAGAAAAGAGAAGACAGGGTCAGGAGAATATTATAATAACCTAGCCAAGAAAAACTGGTGGCTTGCATGAGGAAGGTGCAGTGTTGTTGAGAAATGTGCAGATTTTGGATGTATTATATCTGGATGTATTATAATACACATTCCATCACAGGGATGAGAAGTGTGAAAGAAGACTCAAAGATGACTTTTGGTGTGACCAACTAAAAGACTATATTTGCTATTAAATGGGATAAGAAGTGGTTTTGGAATATTAATTTCAAGATGCTAATTAAAATATCTAGGTGGAATATAAAGAGACAATTGGACTATAAATATTTGGGATCATCAATATACTAAATGATATTTAAAGCAATGAAACTGGATGAGATCACAAAGAGAGAATAATCTACAGAATAAATTCAAAGACTAAATTTTAGCATTCTAATATTAAAATATTAGTAGATAGGGTGGCCTGGTGGCTCAGCAGTTTAGCGCCACCTTCAGCCCAGGGCCTGATCCTAGAGACCCAGGATCAAGTCCCACTTCAGGCTCTCTGCATGGAGCCTGCTTCTCCCTCTGCCTGTGTCTCTGCCTCTAGAGAGCTCTGTCTCTCATGAATAAATAAATTAAATCTTAAAAAATATATATATTAGTAGATAAAGAGATACAACATACAGAAAATAAGATGGAACAGCCAGTGAAATAGAAATTCCAGAATGTATGTCCTGTAGGCCAAGTAAAGAAAGTGTTTCCAGAAAGACAGGATAATTAAATTCGCCAAGGTGGATGAGGACTGAACACTGATTCTTTGTTCAGTATACCTACTTAATAATAATGCCTTGTGTCAGGCAGCCCCAGTGGCCCAGCAGATTGGAGCCACCTTTGGCCCGGGGTGTGATCCTGGAGACCTGGGATTGAGTCCCAGGTCAGACTCCCTGCATGGAGCCTGCTTCTCGTCCTCTCCCTCTGCCTCTCTCTCTCTTTGTCTGTCATGAATAAATAAATAAAATCTTAATAATAATAATAATAATAATGCCTTGTGTCAAAATATGAATAATGTTAGCAATTCTTGAGTGTTTGATTCTTCATATTTCATTTTTCTCTTTCTTCCCACTCACAGTCTTGCTAGAGAAAAGAAAAAGCAATAATCATTGTTCTGACTTTGTATCTGTAATTCTTTAGGACCTAAAGATGCAGTTTGCATTGCAGAGTAAGTGTGTATAAATGGGACTTTAATTTCATAAGAATGTATTATTTTAATTAAATAAATCAATATTTTATTATTTTATAAATTGCATCCCAGTATTCATTGTTAAAAGTTAAATTTGTCACATTCTTCAGTTCCCTTTATGACATCCCAATGTTTCCAGTGCTTTATAATTATATTTGGCTTGAAGCCTAAAATTACTCAGCCCAATGATGCAATTTGTCATTTTTATGTGTAAGTTCCAAATGATTTCAATGTATTTCATGCATGTAAAAAAATGCAGGACATGTCCCTGAAGATTGTGAGAACACAGTTTTGAATTACATGGTGAATTTTTATTCCTGAAATATTGACTTTTCTACTCAGGAAATAATATTGAATACCCTGTGGATACAATATGTAAAATGAATACCCAAGTAGAGTTAAGGATTTCTGAATTAGAGCTAACTGCTTTATTCACCAAGAGGCAATCACCAGAGTGACCTGGACTCTTTGTTTTCAGGATACATTCATCACCATGCCTGGTGCTCTTGTATAATACAGTAAGCAGCTTAAACTGTTACCTTAATCAATAAGCCTTTAATCAATTACTGATTCATTGATAAACTTTTTATGAAATACATGCTGTTTACATTGAGATATGTAGAGGATATGAAAGAAAATTTCCTTTTATTCCTTGTTCCCAATACCCCTACTTTCAGAAACATGGCTAAAGCATTAAAAAATTAAAAGAGAACAAAGCAATAAATATCTTTAGTTCTAAATTATGCTTACAAGCTATAGGACCCCAGCAAAGGGAAAGATGACTTCCCTTTGTGTGTGATTTACTATGTACTTAAGCTTTCAGATTTTCTTCTTTGTGGGCATGGAAAATCCATTTTCAGAAAAGTGATGATGAACACTTCATGTAACAGTGTTTAAGCTCTGTCTCTCAGTAAGTATTTGGTAGAAAATAATTCTATGACTTTGAGAGGATTGGCTAGCCAGAGAGAAGGGAAGTGACCTGGTAATCAAAGCAGGCAAAAGAATTACCAAAGGAACAAAAGTGTAAATGTGCACAGCCTATTCAGAACAAATACAATAACGATCTTGCTTAGAACAGAATGGAGATTCTATAGTAAAAATTAAAAATAAAAAAAGAGTCTCACTTGCAGATTCCTCTGATAATATATTAAACCAGAATTACTTTCAGGAGATGAAGATTTTTACATTGACAATTTCTACTATATTATTCTCCTCAAATATCTATGTAGTTTTCTTTAATTGTCAACAAATAGCTATGTAAATACAGAGATAAATAATTTGAGAAAGGATATGACATAATTGTTAAAACTACTCTGCTAATCAAGACACAGGCAATAGATAATTAACATTCTGCTAAACAAATTGTTTCAGCTGATCTGATTAGGAAAAAATGCATTGCTCCTACTATTTAATCTCTCTCTCTCTCTCTCTCTCTCTCTCTCTCTCTCTCTCTTTTCCTAAGCCCTATGGCTTTCTTGCTCTGTTTTCAACTTTTTTTTTCTTCTTGAATATTATCAGCCATAGTAAGAATAGTCCAGGGTAAAAGGTATGATGAATCTGGGCTACCTACCACAAAGCCTATAGGAGAGAAACATTAGAAACTGAGAAAGGCCATCTAAGTGAAGGGTTTGGTGGTGTCACTGAGTCAAATACAGACTGGGGCAATTTATTTAGTAGCAGTGGCTAGTTTTGTTTATTTTTTGGTGTTGAATTTTTGTTTTTAAGTAAGCTCCATGCCCAGCATGGAGCCCAATGCAGGGCTTGAATCTTGAACCCACGACCCTGAGATCAAGACTTGAGCTGAGATAGAGTCAGACACTTAACTGACTGAGCCACCCAGGCACCCATAGGCTGGCTTTGTAAAAGGTTGTTCAAAGAAAATGGAGAACTTAGAATTGAACAAAAAATAATAATG